ATAAGGGATGTTCAGATACATAGGAAAATCTAACTTCAATATTTGTTACTCATCTCATTGCATTGATTTTAGGATTAAATTTGGACTTGGAGGTGTGAGCTCTGTATTAAATGTAACGAAGTGAGTTTAATTTTTACATGAACCTCAGATATATTTGATGATCAACTCAGAATGCATTCGTGATAGCAAAATATATCTAAATGTTGATATCATGTACACTGAGCTAGTACCAGTAACGTGAAATAAACCACAATAAAACAAATGTATAATACAGAGTTTATTAAATGTAAAGTGTAAATTTTTAGAAAAAGTTAGTATGATGAATATTTAAGGAAATCCAAGCAAACTTATATCCGACTGGCTATAGCATTGCGCACATTAAGTGTGTTTATTAAGGAAAGTAATTTTCATTGCGAAGTTTTAAAGTTAATGTGTTTCATAACGTATTCATTCAACACTGAATTACTACGTTTTATGTACGAATATATAGAGAAAAATTGGCCTAATAGACACGTTTCTTATGCGGGGGTCAGGTTCTAAAATAAATTGCAGTGTTAATTAAATTAATTTCCGTGTTATCTGACATACCTTACAACACTAGAATAATATCCATCCACATTTAGTTTATTTTTGTATTGCCGAAACACTTTTGTAAAAATTATCAAAATGAATAATATTGATGGACATTGTTGCAATAGAAAAAGGTAGTCACAATACAGCCTTATCATTTGGCTATGAAGAAGATACGTGAAAAAACCTTCTTTGCTTATATTCACTTTAAACCTTTATTACTATCCTCCCATTCTTTGAATTTCCTCACTTACCATGACGTCATATAAGCAACACTCACTGAACAGTGTTTCTTTCGAATACCTCAACAGGTGGACTTTTATTACAATGCAATAATTTAATAACATTATCTGCCCGAAGAAAGTTAAAGTTCATTTCACTAGTCTTTTGTATTTCATTATATTTTAAAGTTTGCTGCTAACGCACAGACCATAAGTCACATTCTCAAACGCACGTCGCCAAATAGCAAATGCTTCGTTAACGCCATAGTTCTATGATTACGTATTCTTTTCCACTTTTAAGTGACAGGAGCTTCACATCTTTCTGAATTCCAACATGATTATCTCCAGGTGTTCCAGAATAACTCTAGAGTATATACTCTATCTTTATCTTCCTAATCCACAAAATGTTTATGATATTTGTAAAAATAATAATAGGCGTACACTTTGCAGATATTCGCCACAGACAATGCGTCGTTGAAATCCTAAGAAACTTAATCCGTGTTAGACGTCTTTAACAATCCATTTCTAAGCCTAAATGTTTAAAATATCCCCATTTTAAATTACCTCCAACATTTATTTTTTCCATTATTGTCATTGCAATATGTACCCAGACATCTTAGCACGCTTCTTAATCTATCGCAACCAATTTACCTACATCAGTTTAATCATTATGTTCCTTCCATGAATTATCGTCTCTCAGTCTCCCAAGTGTTCTCCTTGTATGAGATTTTACAACCAAAAATTTAAGCCTTTTTGTTACAGGCAAAGTGTAGCAATTCAGGTATTTAGACACGGAGTTATAACACAAATTTTTACATCATCATCATTATGCGTTCGTTTTATGCGCTTCGCGCAATAAATTGTAGTTAACTAAGCAACATGATAAGGCGAGTGATATTCTTGGCGGCTGTCGAGCCACCCCCGCCCTCCAGCACTTTCTATGGCGCCATTTTCTTTATTTTAAACCAAATTCCAAGCACGAGACGACAAATCAAATATTTAAACGCAGCACTGCGAGTGCTGAAAGACTAGAATTTCGGTAGTCAATACAGTCTGCTAAATCACAAGTGTAAATGATCTTCCGATGGCTGTTGCTTACAGGGTTAGGTAAACCACGCTTAACTTCAAAAGTTAATTGCAATCATAATTATAATCCTCACTACCATTGGTTCGAAGTATTGGGCCTACTTTCATTTTTCTCCTTCCTTTCGAAAACAGCTGGTGGTACCACTAGAAACGGGCACATAGAAAATTCTTGAAAACTAACTACTGGCACTTCTAAGATTAAGACGGATGATAAGGTTAAGACAGATTTCAGGAAAAAGGAAGGTCATATGTAAATTCGACTGAGGATAAGATCCAGCGTTGCGGACTTCTGTACAAGAAATGTCGAACCTTCAGGTTATAGTTTCAATACGAGACACTAATCGATCCTATCTTTCTTAGTTGTGACGCCATGCAGACTTCGA